TATATATATATATATATATATATATATATAAGAAAAAAATGTGTGTGTGTATATATATATATATGAGATGTAAATATTACTGACCCCGATGTTTTGAATGGTAGTGTGCAATATTTATTATCATGTTATGTTTAATAAGTTAATATTAACAACACATTTGCATGTCCACAGTTCTCTGTTGTCCGTTAATGGTCACATGACATTCGGGTAAACAAATAAAATATTTAATCTATTTTTAGTAAGTGTTTCGTTTAATAGTAAAAGTTATTGATCATTAATTGATCATTAGCTTTTTTTTATCAGCTCACAAACCCCCTGCAGTTTCCTTACGAACTCCAGTTTGGGAAAACCTGGTCTAACTACACATACAAATATGTGTGCTAGAATGTACAAATACCCAAGTGAATGAGATCACCCTGTAGTAGTCACACATCCAGTTCTATTTCTGTTTATTAACAGATGTTTTAATTCTCTGTAAGGCTGGAGAGGACTGCTTTGGCACAGACGAGTCAACTTTCAGCTTCATTCTGGCCACCAGGAACTACTTACAACTGCAGGCCACATTCAAAGCTTATGAAGCCGTGAGTTTGTTCTGTTCTTTGAGCTTAAGGCAGTAACTTAGTACAATATGTACAATAAGTTGTGTTTGTTTTCGTGTAACAACTCTGGATTACTTTTAGATTGTATTTCACCTTGTTCTCCCACAGATTTCTGGAACAGAGATTTTGGATGCAATCGATAAGGAAACCTCTGGAACTCTGAAGGACTGCTACACTACGCTTGGTTTGTATTAAACACAGTCTTTGTCCAAAAAAAACAGCAATTCCAAATTATTTTTACATATCCATTGTGTCAATTGCATTTTGTAGTGTGAACAACAGGAAAGAAATTACATAATCTATTCTTTCCTCTTTTTTTTTTCGCGTTGGTGCCTAGACTTTATAAAGTGTCTGGATTCACCCATTTTCATTGAGACTAGTTCATCCTCAGACAATCCAAGATGTAGGTGAGTTTTTTTTCTCACCTGAACAGATTTTGAGAAATTGAGCATTACATCACTTGCTCACCAATGAATCCTCTGCAGTGAATGGGTGCCGTCAGAATGAGAGTCCAAACAGCTAATTTAAAAAAACAACAACACAAGCAGCTTTTCACTTCACAAGACAATTGATGGACTGGAGTCGTGTGGATTACTTGTGGATCATTGTGATGTTTTTATCAGCTGTTTGGACTCTTATTCTGACGGCACCCATTCACTGCAGAGGATCCATTGGTGAGCAAGTGATGTAATGCTCAATTTCTTTTATCTGTTGATGAAGAATCAAACTCATCTACTCATCTCGAATAGCCTGAGGTTGAGTACATTTTCAGCATATTTTCATTTTTTGGTGAACTATTCCTTTAACTCATTACTAAATGCAAACAGGGTGCATTGTGAACAAAGCCAAACTATAAAATGTTGTAAAATACAACAATATTAGAGTTTCCAGTTTTGATGATTTGCTTAGTAATTCTACAGTGCTAACTGGTTCCCACTTCCCATCTAACCCATAGTGAGGTGTGCTAAGAACCCCCAGCTATGCTTTGCCCGGAAGCTGAATGCCGCTATGAAAGGTGCCGGAACTGATGAAGACACTCTCATCCGCATCATTGTGTGTCGCTCAGAGGTATAATACCAGTTCATCTTATTAAATCATCTTTCACTAAATAAAATAATAATAATACAAATCTTACTGACCACATACTTTTGAATGGTAGTGTACTTTTGGAGTGACTTTAGTCTTTGCAACTTCAGGGATCTTATCTATGCACAATCAGCTTGTAACACTCCAAAGAGAAAGGAAAACTTGAAATCGCATCATATGACCCCTTTAAAGGTCAAATGTATTGCATTGTGGGATATTACATATGATGCAAATGTATCAGGTCCTCCATATATCATAGACACTGATATTTAGCATTAAGTATGTTGTATACTGCATGATGAAGTATACTGTTCTGTTATTACACAGAGGTTAGATTAGACCATCTTATACAACAACCAGTAATGGACACTCTTCTGTTTGAATAGATCGATCTGGAGACCATTAAAGACATGTACCTGGAGAAATATGATGTGTCTCTAAAAGATGCCATCAGCTCGGAATGCGGTGGAGATTTCAAGCGCCTCCTGCTGGCCATCCTTCACTGAGAGAAACACAATCTGAGTGCTCATCATGGACCAAGGAGGCTTTCACTGTTGTCACAAATTCAAGGCAAACTAACATGACTGATTTTCTGTCCTGTTGTCTACAGACATGTTTTGATAAAACTTAGTTTAAAGTGGAGAATTAGTAACACGATCTTCAAGTACAATATGTTTAATATGTATAACAACACTCAAAAATCTCATGAGCAGCTGTCCTCACAAACAGAAACATGTATTTGTGAACAGTTTCTGTGACATTCGTTATTCTTGAGGCAAAATTGGCCAGTTGGATTTGTTTAAGTGGAGTCTTGTGGTTTCCAGGATTACAAAATAACATTGGTGCATTATGATGATTAGAAGTTGAGAAGTTAGAACACAGATAATACAAAGCCAGCATTTTTATTTTCTGTCCAGTAGCAGTCGTGATACGCCGCCAGTATTTTGCCACACTAAAACCTCACATTTTTCCTGTTTCAAAATGTCCATGACAATGTGAATTCTGAATATGTATGTGAATGACTTTGTGAAGCATGTAGAGAAATGCTAAAATTACAATGTGACATTCACGGTCTGCAAAACAATTGCTTAACTATGAGACTTCTGCAGCCAGTTTGTCCACTTGTGGACAGTTTATACTCAACCAATTAGTATGTTGTTGTAACTAACACAAAACTAAAGTATTTATATTATTTACATGGAATATTTTAATATAACTTACAGTATATTTTAATATATTTTTAACACAAGAATACAGGCTGTTCTCCCAACAATTATATTTGATCAGATTAATATGAAAAACATTCACTATACTGTGTAAGCCAATGTGTCATTCAGTGTGACCGAATTGCAGGATACTATTTAAATGAAACATAGTTTGACAAGAAATGGAATCTGGAGTAGTATGTCCTGTATTAACACAATTGTATTTCACTCTATAAAGTAATTAACTGAATAAACTAAAGCAGCTCAAAGTTACTGGATGACTAGCATTATTATTGTGTAATTTGCTCTTTATTCACATATACTGTATATTGTTACTTTTCTTTTTTGCTATTGCTACTTTTTGCGTGTGATTACTTAATTACATTGATCTGCTTTTTGTTATGTAAATTTTCTGTAGCTGGCAAGTCAGTTATCAAATTTATAATTTACTGATCAAAATGATTGTTTTAAGCTGAGCTTTCTGAGACTTTCTGTTAAAAGTCTTTTCGATTACATATATAAATGAATGTTTTAAAATAACTCAAGACAAGTATTAAAATAAGGTAAAAGTAATGTAATTCACACTTCAACATTATTTCTTTGGGGGAAAAAAACGAGGGGTCTTGAAAACATGAGGTAGGATAATAAAAAAAAAAGCTTTGTAAATAAAATCTAAATATCATGGACATATTTTTTTTTTATATATTACTGGATGAAATTATTAGTAGGCCTAATAGCCTATATTTAAAAACTTAAAAAAAGAGTTGAAAACCTAAAGAATAGACCATTTACCTCTTAATAAAAAGCTTAATATAATTTAATAATTATTTGTGTTACTCTTAATCTGGACACTTGTTTCTGTAAAATAAATAAATAAATAAAAAACCTTTTGAAAACAAAACTTTTAACCCCAGCCCGGGGTCGTCAGATGTGGTTGCCGCAAGCCCGCCGGCCGCGCCATTCTAGAGGAGAAACAATAATGTACAGTATGTGGAAAATAATGTGTTTTTTGAACCTTAAACCGCATAAACACATTTCATTACACCAATACACAAAATAATGTTCTTTTTAGCAACATCATATGACCCCTTTAAACGAGGACACGAAAAACATGCAGGAAAGGGAGAAGAAACACCTCAGGGCTATGCATTAAGAGCCGGGCAATCCTCTGTGTCCAGTTGCTTCTCTGGAGAAATATCGGAGCAAAATTCCAGCCGACGCAAAAGCGCTGTATCTGCAGCCCAAAAGGATGTACGTGGTCACCGATTAGATGTGGTATACTGCAGTTCCTCTAGGAGTCAATTATCTGTCCCAAATGCTGCCCAAAATATGCAAAGAGGCCGGTACGAGAACGACCTACACTAACCACAGTCTGAGGGTCACTGCAATTCAAAGACTGACTGAATCGAGGGAGATCATGGCGATATGTGTGCAGAGGTATGTTTAGCCTGGAAACAACGCCAAACGTTCAGAAAATAAACAGGAGCAAGTCATTTCGCGGTTCTAAACTGTCACCAAATTTTTTTTCGTCAAAAGTTAGTTTCTGGCATAGAATGCTTTCGGAGAACAACTGGTTCTGGAAAGTCTCACTCTGCAGAGAACGTTGCACCGCGACGTTTTTTTTTTTCCAGTTTGTATCACCTTCTTGAAGCTTGGTCTTATTTTGTTTATTTTTAAGCTGGTTTCACTTAAGGGCAAAGAAAAACAAAACAGTATTAAATTATTGTATCTGAAAAGATACATTATTCGACATTAAAAGGGATATTTCACACAGAAATGAATATTCTGTCATTTACTCATCTTGTTCTTCTGTGGAACGCAAAAGGTGATATTTTGAAACAGCTGTTTGAACATTGTTTTGGACCCCATTGACTTTCATTGAATGGACCGCAATATGTTTTTTGTGTTCCACAGAAGAAAGTCATACAGGTATGGGACACTGTTGCCAACTCTCGCGAGACAAATAAGCAACAGCAGCTTCAAAAACAAGTCCAATATTATTTGATTATTTATTATCATCAATATTATTTATTATTAATTATTTATTACCAATAGTTGCACCTGCAACAAAAACTGCAACAAAGCGGGAGGCACGCACTATCCACTCATCTCCTATCACCTGTAAGCAGAAAAGGGTTGGAGAGATGGAAAAGGAGAAAAAGACGAGCTTTAAGGGGGAGCTGTAACATAGCCACATATTTATATGAGGGCTTATGAAAATATGGGCTAATAAAATATATTTTAAAACAAATGTATATACTGTTAGTATTAGTATGGGCCTACTTGTTTTTTTATTATAATTCGTGATGATAATACATTACAAAAACATTGTAAAAAATTAACCTTATATTGCTTGGATTACAGCGTCACACGTCTATGGCAAGATTCTTACTAGTAACAATTTAATTATAGAGCTCTCTAACAAAAAAAGAAGCTAAAAGTCACGCATTATAAGTGGACTTGGCAACTCTGGTATGGAACGACATGAAGTTGACACCGTTTCCATGGGTGAATTATTTCTTTTAACTTGTTTATAAAACTGTTGTTTATAAGCATTCACATTCGTGCTGGTGAACAGGGTATTAGTCCTTTATTAACAGTGGCTTTCAGACATACCCTTTCTTGATATATATCAAGCTTTTTATTTATTTTTTTTGTTAGAATGGAACTATTAATACTGCTCATCACTAAACTCCTTTCCACTCATATACTCTGATCCAAATGCGGCAAGCACAGACCGCTGGAGAGATCCAGACAAATGGAGTGATACAACAGTGACTACGTTTACATGGACATCAGTAATCTAATTATTTACCTTATTCTAAATAAGCCAATATTATGATTATGGTGTTTACATGAGTTGCTTTTAGAATATTCCTTTCATGTTCCCGTTTTACATGTTATAGTACATAGTAGGCCTGGCCGATAAAACGGTATCGATATTTATCGACGGTACAGCTTCTTCGATAACGATATAAAAAAAATTTGATATTGTGCACGATATAGGCACGTGCTCTGAGTGATGCAGACAGCACACTTAATCAGAGTATTGTCTTAATCGTATTAATATCGGATTATTGTTGTCCATGTAAACGTACTCAGTGAAACTTTCCAGTGCTGCTGTACCAAATATCAGCACTCTTGGAAGTAGTAATTAAACAAGTGAAGTTTAATTATATAGCATTAAAATAATAAATATGAGTGCAATTATGATAGTGTTCTCTTGCAGTGTTCCAGTTGAGATTCACACTCAGTGGCAGCAGCAGGAATCCGCTCCATACTCCCCCAGCAGTGAACTTGACTCCAGCTCTGCCAGATAGGAGAGTCCCGTGAGCAGCCACAGTTGGGTGAAACAGGAACCAGAGCCTGAAGTCATCCAGTTGGAAAATATGAACTCTGAGGCCACCTCTGATGCTGAGGACAAACACTCTGAACAGTGCTGTCACTAGTATGATATTTTTCATTTCCTGAGAATCATTAGGATGAGATGAGCTCATTAGGATCATCATATTTCAATGATGGGACATAGATTGAGGGAAGTATTTCTCTTTCTCAGCAGCGGTACCTTCGATGGAGGGTTTACCCAACAGTGTTATGCTGACCATCACCAAACTTCAGTGCCTACTGGAGAGCAAACAGGAGAGGATTGAAGCTCTGGAGAGACAGGTGCAGGACCTACAGGAGGATCGCAAGTTCCTCCGCTCACAGATCGAGAACCTCACTGGCGCTCGCTTGGTATGCAGGTTTTTTAGTATTAAAAATGTTAATATAATGTTTTCATTATGAAAACAAAACCAGATCAAATTGCAGTGTTTCTGGAGTATTTTATTTAGGGAATTTAAGAGAAGTGTTGCAGAAATGTAGTGAAAATAATTTTGTTTATAGAACCAAAATACAACCAAGCCACAATATAGTTAGTGAAACATTTTATTTGTTTTGTAAAACACTTAAACTATGCACTAGGGCTGTAAAAAAAAAAATTCAAAATTCGTCAAATTTAAAATAAAAATCCACTTTCGAATGCAAAAACGTTGCATTCGAATTTTAGGTGTGCGTCAGGCAGCCTTATCAGTGGCGCACGAAATGCGACGATGATGTAAGTGTTGTTGCATTTTAATGTTTTTGTTAGTCAATCAATTGAACCCACTAGATGCGGCGCTGCTACGTTGTTCATTCAAAATATTGCGGGAAAAAATAACATCAATGCGGAGATGATGTTGTTTACGTCAAAACCGAAACCAAACCGTTCACATAGAACGCATATTTATCACATTTTCTAGAGGGCCATCTATCACCGTTGCACTCGCGTCTCGCACAAGTGAGCCGCATGTTTAGAAAGCCATGGAAAATCAATGTAAGTTCAACTTTTTAAAAACATGTCTCAAACATTATTTTAAACATTATGCACTTTTTTCAAAGATAGTCGTGTTATTTTATTAAGCTTTGAAGAAACGTGTATAATATTTTGTTCGTTGCACCCTCTTGTGGCCTCAGGAGAGAAGCCAAAAGCTTTTTTCCCCCCTAACTGAAATTATGCCTTTTAAAATTCGAATATAATTCGAATATTGATAATATTTAAGTACAAAATTCGAATGTTAAGCTTTGAAGAAACGTGTATAATATTTTGTTCGTTGCACCCTCTTGTGGCCTCAGGAGAGAAGCCAAAAGCTTTTTTCCCCCCTAACTGAAATTATGCCTTTTAAAATTCGAATATAATTCGAATATTGATAATATTTAAGTACAAAATTCGAATTTAGTTTTCAGCCATTTTGACAGCCCTACTATGCACAATTTAAGTAACAGTTAGCAGTGAATGCACTGACAAAAGACAAGGTTTCATGACACAGTATATTGAAAATGCATATAAAGTTTTCTAAAGAGTAGCTCTGCTAATATTGGGATCGCTATTTTCAATTCATGTTTATGAATTGTGAGCTGAAATTAATTAATACATTTTGCAGTTTGTGTTCTATTTCCTGTTACACTGGTGCTTTGCTCATGTGCTTGTTTACTACTTTTCTCGGTTGCTGCAGCTAGCACATCAGTGTTGTCTGAGTCCAGGTCACGGAGGAGGCGGCGTAAGAGCTCATCCAGCTCATATGTCGATGATGATAGCATCACTGATGAATCTTCATCTGAAGAGTCCAGCAGAATCAGAAAAAAGAAGCGCCACAAGAAGAAAGCGAAGAGAGGTACACGACAAGTAGCATTTTTGTTCATAAATTTGCCTTGGCTGTAGAAGATCCCTTGTAAAAAGTATACTTTAGCATACTTTTAAAAAGAATAT